AACAATAAGATACTATAACTAGTACACTTAATATTCTTAAATAATATACTACTGCTAGAGACTAGAGTTATTTGTTTGTATATATTTTTAATGCTGCGTGGGTAAGACTTGGTAATTTTATTAAATTAAATATGTATCTTGCAGTTGTGATGTACAATAATAGTAAAAAATGTATTCTCATGAACTATCCATAATATACGTCATACAATTCTGACGATTACGATACCATGCAGTAGTTAGTAATGATTATGAACGAGGTCACTGGGAGACCCCTAAGTCCGTGTCAATTATCCTCATCGGCGCGTTTCATTAAACGCATTTAAGCTGTGTCCGCTGCCGTCGATGTTTCCACACTTAATAATAACTAACCGACGCTGCATGAAAGCCAGATGCGACGATAATGGTAGAACAAAAACACCATCGCCGACTGCCGTGTACAGCTCGCATTTAAAATATGCACGTTTTTTCCCTCAAAAATAAACGGCATTAATCACCTCGGGAACCGTTGGGCAAAAAAAAAGTAACTGAAACAGTCGGCGAGGCAATTTGCCAAATGAATCCGAAAACGATGATGACCTGTTCTTCCTGGCCCATATCGCGCCTATAATGTTACTATGTAAGTTTACGCCCTACCCGTCTGTCTTATTTTTTTTGAATTGATTTATATTTATTGCCCACCGCTGTATTATACTTACTTTCATTAGTTGTATAGTATTAGTTTTATAATCGGTGTAAAATATCACGAGCAACTATACGAATGTACGATGATTGGCATTGTTTTTAGTATTTTACTAATGGTGAGTAGGAAATATAACGTTTTTCTATTATAATAAATAATAACAGTCGTAGTAAGATGCACGTTCCGCACTAGAGTATTGTCCTGACAATATAGTGCACGAATTGACGATTCCATAGAAATATTATTATATCGTCGTTCGTGAAACGTTTACGTACCTAGGTACTATGAACGATTTTTTACGGTGACGTACAATTTTCCCCAATCTCTGCAGTTGCGCCCGATGCCAGCCATCTACCGATTTTTTGAGTGTGGCTGTGAAGGTCAGTGGCGATATACGTATTATACATATTATACAGCATGTGTATAGGTACTCGGAGTCGTTATGCACGACTTGTGCAGACCGAACGAATGGCTCTACGGCGCCCCACCCCAACCTCCCTTTACCGCCCTCCTTTCCATCATATCGTAACGTAATAAACAATGCTGCAGCACTGTGTTAAGGCCAAAACTGCGCATTAAATATGTATTATGTATATGAATAATCCTCTACCGCTAGACGTCCAAAAACCGGATAGCTCTCTAGAATACAATACATATAATATCGTCGACAATATTTTGTATTTTGTATTTTTTTCGTATTATATAGGTATTAGTATTGTGGTATTATGGTATACAGATAAGACGGGCTAATATGTATAAGTATAATATTACGTTCACTTGCCGTTGCACTTATAACTGCATACGGAGTGTGTCCCACTGTGTTTAAACCCACGGCCAATAACTTTTTTTTTAATCGATATATTTGAAATAAGTATGATTTTAGGTACTTAAAAAGAAGGAATATCTCAAAATCGTTATACCCATAATTTAGTTAATACTTTATATCATACTTTTTTTTAAACTTAAACTCGGATATAATGTTAATTTTTGTGTTTCTTAAAAATCTTAATTACATTAGTGGTGATAGGACTGACTAAGTTTATCTTCCTAAAATAATTCCCAAAGCCTCCTAAAAAAAACTATTTATAACTACTAATTAGTATTTATAGATTATACCTAATATTGGAACGATTTTATTACTGTTTCAAAATCGTTTTTTAATAAGATGATGTTTTAGTATTTTTATTGTATAAAAATACTTTTTTTATTAAGTAAAAAAATTGGTTGGTTTTTTGACTTACAGAATAGTAGTATAGGTTTAGTACTGTAGTTTAAGTTTAAACAGGAGAAATTATATATGTACGAAGACAGTCACCTGAAACATCCTATATATATTTTGTATGCAGATCGAACAGAAATAATACTGATAAATGTAATTTACCAACTATATAACTTTTTTCCTATGAATATTCAAAAATGATTGTAATTGTTTGAATTAATGTGAATACCTATATTATAGTTACTTATAATGACATATATCTCTTATTTCTGTTACACTCTGTATACCTAGTATATACTATATGTCTATACTGCTCGCAACAGGAGTATACAATAGTTATAACAGTGGTTTTATACTTTTTACCTTTTTACTTTTTTCCTACCAAACGGTGTGTTCCGGTCACGGCCGACCGATCGGCCGGCTCGCCGTGGACGAACGATAATTGCCACGTCGAGGAGGCGGCGTGCCGTCGTCCGTCGTGATTATCGTCTATCTAGATTCCAGACGACCGTTCAACGGCAGCAATGATGCTTGGGTGTACATTATTATTGCGTTTGGACGCGTTTAAAATGCATTCTCGTAGTGCAGGAAATGCTGCGTGTGTTCTCTGTTGTACGCATTATGATAAGTGATAACTATTCCTCTGCACCTAAGTCGGCTATGTCCTGATTAAAACGTGTACCGTTATTACTTATTGCACTTACACGTGAACGAATGAGTTATAATTTATCGTATTTCTACTTTCTTGACTGCTGCTGCAGCAGTGCAGCAATGCGATCGATCATCGATGTAGGTACGAAACGTCCCATAATATAATATAAGTACTATTATACGGGTCCTAATCGTCGAAAACGACCAAATAATAAATGTGTTTCTATGGCTTCGTTGCATTTAAATTATTATTTTATTTCAATTGCTGATCGATTCTGTATTTCTGCATCGTTTGAAAAAAAGGAACGTATTATAATAATTTTTTTCACCACTTCGCATTTAAAAATAATGGAAACATTAAGACATTAATGACAAATACTGTAATGAATCATAAAATACGTTTGTATATTTTCCTGAATTCATGTTAATGCTTATTGGATTTAATACGATTTATAATATTCAAAAGTATTTTATGTTTTTTTTTAAATGTTTGAATTTTGGTAGTTTTGTCTGATTAGGTTTTTAGCTTTACTTATTACCATTAAGTATTTGTAATAATATCACGTTTAATAACATAAAATATGTTCGAGAGATTCGTTGAACAAATGTCAATGATAATTTAACATATTTACAGTTTGAATGAGTAATTAACATAATTATAATTTACATTATTTTAGAATAGTTGTTTAGACGCTCAAAAATGGTCAAAAAATACTTGATAGTTGATTGTTTTGAACGTTTGAAATGATTTGGTATTGTCTAGATGCTGTCTAATTTTACCCATAAAATACGCAATATACTAAGTAAAGTTGTATAACGTATTTCCTTAACTACTATGAGTCATAGTTATAAAAGCGCAGATGTTGATATAATGTGAAAGTTTTTGTTAATAGTATTCTCGGTGTTAAAATTTTTTGTGATTTGAATAATGAATATTTATGATTATGCTATTTAATTTTGCTATTTAATTTATATTTATTACTAGTAAATATTTAAATGATGTACGTGGATGAATATGGTTTTCCATTCTACTCATTTAAAAACACTTAAATATTTTAAAGGGGCCATTAAAATATTTGACCACTTATGTTTATATCCTCCTTCTATGTGACACGAATACCTTAAATAGGCATTATTTAAATTTACTTTATAAATATAATAAATTATTGCTTGTGGGAGTTTAGGTTATAGGATTTTTTAATACAATATAAATATTAGTTATCTCTAAAATTTAAAAATGTCTGAAATATGTTACTATAAATATCCAATAGGTTTATCAACTGTTGAGCTGTAGATATTTTTTTCGTAGGTACGTATTCGTAATTCGTATCAATGAAATTAATGATAAAAACATTTTTAATAAGCTATTGTTTTTTATAATAAACTTCCACACCTGGATGCTATTAAAATGTGCCACTTCCGGTGTTCAAATTGGATGTGATATATTTTTTTTAGCAATTACTCTTCAAGGTTGTTACCCGGATTTATGTACAAAATACTAATATGCAACGTTTGTATTTATTTATTTTCATTGAACGGTTAAATTACTGTTATATGAATATGACACTTCTCCTGTATGGATACAACTATATTACATAAATATATAACTTATTTACTTATGCAGTCGTGTAATTATTTTATTAATGCCAATCACGTACTCGTGACTCCCAAGAATAATATTAATTACTTAATAGTATGTAATATGTTATTGTGTTTACGGCATAAACAACATCAAAATGTTTGTAGTTCCACTGTTGTTGATTATTTTACTAAGCATATAAAAAACGATTCTACTTCTGACTGCATTCAATGTATTAACCGACGAATCAGAAGTGTCAGCGTCCCTGGTGAGGGGGGAAATTACTCTCCGGAACCCAACCCAAGCATAGGCTAAAGATATCCTAGATCATTGCGTTTGTCTAAATATGAGAGCGAGAGAACCCTACCGACTAACTACTAACTACGCTTTTTCTTCTTTAAAAATAAAACACTGCCGTAAAATTTAAATATTAGTCTCGTATTCTCTTCCACAGTTCATTGCTCCACGACAATATTTACGCTGTGTGTATACTTCTAACCCCGGTGAATGTTTCCAAATTAATAGTGGAATAATATATTATGACATAATACAATAGATACCTATACTTTTAATATTTTCGTTTTAATCGACATGTCTTACAAACAAAAACTAGAATGTAAATCATTTTACACTAGCCAAATTTTTAAAGGTATTTCATTTTTCCAAATATACTGGCAGGAATGTTGGCTGTGCTTCAAAAAATGACGTCGTATACCTATTTGGTTAAATTATTTGAGTTAAATACATTTTTTTTTATTGATTTTGGGGAATTGTTTGATATGATACAACTTAATAAAAATGATCATTCATCAATAATGCATTACTCATTACTTATTAGTATCTAACTAAATTGATTTGTTGTTGGTTTACAGGTAAAACTTACTGCAGCGGTTGCAAGAAAAAATGTTCTGGTGAAGTACTTAAAATAAAAGGTGATAAATACTTTCACAAGGACTGCTTCAAATGCAAAAGTAAGTTTGATCAAATACTATTTAAACAATAATGAATATTAAATAGATACTATGTAAAACGTAATAACTCAATTAAATAAAATGAACTTAAAAGTTTGAATATCATATATTTATAAAGTAAACTTATTTTGATATCTTACTTAGGCTGCAAACATCCTTTTTAAACAAATGTTCAAAACATCTTTCATTTGTATGTGATGTATGCCTGTGAGCAAATATTTTTTTATGATATATCACACTATATAATATATAATAGGTAGGATAATAGATATGTAATAATACGTCATCAAGTCAGTTTTAAGGCAATTGGCTACGGCTGACACATCACAATGTATGCATACTGCAACAATAATTCCACTATTGCTATCAATGAAGGGTACAATGACACTAGTAGGCTTATTGTTGTCAGGCATACATAATTGTTATGAAATTCCATTTGTATAATGATTGAAAGCAGAGTATTTAATTATGCAATTTAAAATAGATTAAAAATATCTTATTAACTCTTTGTTTTTTTTTAGTTTGTTGCCATTCATTAGTGCAAGGGTTGTTTTTTTCTGAAGAAGGTAGCTGGTATTGTCCTGATGATTACCAAAAATTATTTGGTAAAAAATGCACCGTATGTAATGATTATATAAAAGATGAATTGGTTATTGTATTGGAACGAACGTATCATCAGCAGTGTTTTACATGTTCTCATTGCCGGTAATAATTTGCCTAACATCATATATTATTAGTAGTGTATGTATCTAAAATGAATAATATTGTTGCAGACAACCTTGTCCAAAAGGAGACCTAGTCACATATGTAGGAAATTCTATTCTTTGCTCCAAGTGCAAGGAAATTCCTGTTAAACGACCAGCATCTGCACAATCTAAACAAAATAGCACTAATGAAACAGGTATGTTTAAAAACATTAATTGTAAATAAAATCTAACTTAAGAAAATATTAAAGTACAAATTGGTGTTTATAATTGAATATTTAGATTGTGCTGAATGTGGTGACGACCTAAGGAACGGACAAGCACTTTATGCTTTGGACAGACAGTGGCATATTTATTGCTTTAAGTGTCATGAATGTTCTGCTGTGCTTCATGGTGAATATATGGGACGGTATGTATGCATTTATTATATGTGTATTTTCTTTTATACTCTACTCTACTCATTTATTCTATTGAAAAACAGAGCATCGTCAAGTGCTTTGGTACTAATAGTATTCCCAGTACTTAAGTTAAATAACAAAAGTTGTGATAACCATAACAGTATGATATTGGTATAAATATGAATTAATTACAATTATAATTAGTCAATATTTATTTATTAAATCAAGACTTGAAAAAAAAATGTGAAATATGTGCAAAAATGTATAACTTGTAAAATGTTACTTTATAGGGATGGTGTTCCTTATTGTGAAAAAGATTATCAGAAGCTCTTTGGAGTCAAATGTACGTACTGCAGTAGATTTATATCTGGAAAAGTCTTGCAAGTATGAATTATTATTATCTAGAATTAAATTATTTATTTTATAATTTATTAACATCAATATTATTTAAGGCCGGTGATAATCATCATTTTCATCCAACATGTGCAAGATGTGCCAAGTGTGGTGATCCATTTGGGGATGGTGAAGAAATGTATTTACAGGGTAATAAAATAATAATAGTTGTCTAATAGTTAATTATTTTATATTCATAAATATCTATATAAATACCTTTATATTTACCTAAATTGATATGATAAAATTAGTTCATATGTACAAATTTCAAATTATTTTATATATTATTGATAAAGTATGGGTAAAGTACCAATATTTTATAATATAAAGTTTAAACATGAGAAAAATTAAATTTGTATCAGCTTTAAATTTCATATATTATATATAGGTATGTTATAATAATGTATGCAACTTCTAAATTTTAAATATTTTCTAGGCGGAGCAATTTGGCATCCACGTTGTGGGCCTAGTCCAACTGAAAATGGCACCATAATAAATGGAGGTAACTGTTCAGTATAAACAATCATCATATCTTATTTCTATCAAAAACTCATTATTTCTATTGTATAATATTAAATGTATGTGTATCATGTTCCTCACTATATGTTGTCATAGGATCAAGTGCCATGCTCAACGGACATTGCAATGACCCTGAAGAGTATGATCGAATCAGTTGCTCAGCTGCTAGTGAAACTCAGGTAATATTTTTTTTTTAAACAACACTATTTATTATTTGCAGCTGAATTTTTTTTACCAACTATTATTTTATATATTTTTATTGTAGTGTTCATACAAGTAAAATATTTATGAATGTATAGAATTGCACTCTTATATTTTATTATTCTAATCTGTATGCATTTGCTAAATTATATATTTCCAAATTAAGTAGTGCATATAAACTATTATTTGATCAGTTGATATGATTACAGATATTTATGATTATGATCTTTATATTTTTTGATATATTAATTTTAGTTCAGTTACTATTGTATTTTAATGACCCATCACTTTTTATTTTACCCGAGTATTTTTTTATATTTAATTTATTGTTTAGTAGATTTTTTTTAGATGCTTTTACTTAGTTTGTGTATTTCCAGTTTTCATTACGGTCTCGATCTCGTGCTTCAAGCTTTAATGGTTCATGTTATAATGGTTCATGTAATAGCATGAGTAGAAAGGTTAGTAATGCATAACCTAATCTGCAACATGTATTATGTAGAAATAATTTATAAATTACATTTTTATCATATAATTTATTTAATTATTTACATTTTTTTAAAACTTTAACAGCACTATTATCGTGATATACCTGGAAGTCCAGGACTATTGCTTCGAGAATATAAAACGTCCAATGTGCCTATTAGTCGTATCTATACTTATAGCTACTTGACTGAAGAGCCAACTCAAGGATATTTGAAACGCCCAATCGACCCATATGATAAGCAGCCAACATCGCCTCATTTCCACAGACCAACATGTAAGATATATTGATAGTTGAAAAACAATTATTTAGATATTGTGTTTTATATAAATAGATTTTTCAGCTTGTGGTAGTGTACGTGGAAGTAGTAAGTGCTCAACTTTACGTTCAGCTGGCAGTCGTTCTGGTATGAAAGCTTTGGTTGACAGTATTAGATCAGAGACTCCTAGACCAAAATCACCTCATAGTATGAACAATGAAGAGCCCATAGAATTGGCTCACTACCCTGCTGCTAAACCACCAGCACCTGGTGAAAAACCAAAAATTGAAAGGGATGATTTTCCTGCTCCTCCTTGTCCATATACTGATCCAGGTTAATATAATTATAACTCAAAACACAATTAAGTTCTGTTTTGAAAATTTTTTATTTTGTTTAGAAAAACGTAAGACGTGGTTTGAAAATTATAAAGGTATATCAGATGATGAAGATGAAGTTGATCAAAAAATGAGTGCTGATAAAGCAATAGATCCTAAACTAAAGGTATGTTATTAATCAGACCATATAATTTTGTGAAGAGTTAATTATACTTGTAAATTTTATTTGATAGAAAGAAGAGGAAGAATTAAGTAAATTAGGATCAGGAATTGGAAAAGTATTTTTGCAAGAAGTTCGTGAACGCGAAAAACATCAAAAGTGGAAAGTTTCACATATGGATCCTCGTAATGCTTCAAGATGTCCTTCTGCTGCTCGGGAACCAACTTATCGTCTTAGATACCAGTCACCAATTAATGCTTGTAAGTAATATGTAATAAGTCCGTCATTGGAAATGGGTTCATAATTTTCCTGCATTAGCGTATAATTTTCATGAATAAATAAAAACATGTATTATTTACAAATTTTTTGTACAGATATTATTTATGTTGTGTTAGACTAATACTTATTTATATAATTTAATATGTGTATTTACTGTTGTCTGTTAATTAAAAATAGCACCATCCCGTAATTTGGATCATCAAAGACCATGGGAAGAAGAAGGTTATTTAGACTCAAGTTACAGATCATCAGTTGGACAATCTACTGGTGCCATTCCCAGTTACAACAGTAAGTTTTTACTGTGAAAAATATTCCCCTTTTCCTATCTTCATAGCCAATTTATGGAAATTAAATGAAATTGACTTTTAATAATAATTTTATTCAATTAAAGCCGACCTTCTGACTATAATAAACAGCAATATTATTAAATTATAATTTATACTTTTGTTCTTTTATTATTTATACTATTATTATTAATTTTTTTAATTTATTTATGAAATAATTAAGTACAAATGTCTAATTTATATTTCAAATGTAAATGTAAACTATTCCTTATTTTAATTTTGGTTCATAACATTGATTATATTTAGCTTTTTTTTCTTTAATTAATTTTGTAATAAAATTTTAAATATTTTATTATCTCTAATTTCTTTTTTTCATTTTGCTCCTTATTTGCTTTCCCTAGAGTTATGTCAATTCAATTTATTATTATTATTTTGTTTTTTTAAAAACTATAAAGAATATTATTCATGTTATTAGTAGTATTTTTGTTTTGCTTTTTTGTACATTGGTATTGTTATTTATTACATAGTTAGTGAATATTTGTGTGGATATTTTGTTTTATGTGTTAGAAGTTTTGAATATTTTAAATGTCTTTGTTATTCTTTAAAACACTTAAAGATTTCATAACAAAAGAAGCTTATTTTAAAAAGGTACATAATATTATCATTGTTAAGTGCTAAAATAGATAATATCTATAATATTATACTAAAAAGTAAAAATTAATAATTAAATAATTAATATATTAATAAAGGAATAATTTAAATGTGTTTTTTTTTTATTTAAGCTACCAATATAAAATTATTACAGCTTAATTTAAAAGTGTTAAATAATTTTTAAATTTGGTGTTTGAATTAATTTATATTATGCTTCATAACTATCATAGTGAAATTAAATTATTTTAATTAATTACTAATTTGTTGCAATTAAAAGAAGATTTTTTTAAGAATCAAAATCAGTCATTAGTTTATATTACAGTAATTTAACATCATCAACCATCAAATTTATAGCTAAGTACAGTACTTCTGATATAATTATCATCTTCTTAGAGCCCTCTACACACTGCAGTGGTAGTGGTAAAAATGCATCAAGACACAATTTACCAGCACCCCCGAGATGATAGAATTGTTCTTCCACTTCTGCAGTGTGTGGGATATGGATACCTTAAATAGAGGAGCAAAATATTTACATTTTATTCGCTTCAGAAAATAGTTATTGGATAGTTACATGTCAATAATAGTAATTTCACCACTTAATTTATATGTAAATAGTAATAGCAATAATACAAATTGATATAACAAAGTACAGTTTTAATTTATTATTTAGAAAGAGCTAAACAATATTAAAATATTAGATTTAATTTCTGTAGTTGTCTTAAACGTTAATTGCATTTTTAGATTGTGTCTTATTTATATAAAACACTTGCGTTTTATTCACTCTATCTTAAAAAGTTTATTATGTGTTGCTTGGAATTTGCATTTGTTTTGTTGCATGGTGTGTTATTTGTTTGTAGCATACTATCATGGTCAGCATGGGTCGGCTATAATGACGAGGGGCGCCCGCAAGTCGTGCACTCTTCCGGCCGGCTTCCACGGTGGCCCTGGAAATTATGTCAGGGTAAGTAATACGTAGCCATTGTTTTTCTGTTATGTTCACAGTCGTAAGTGCACTACGCCATGTACCCAAACCTGGCTATGGCTTGGCGCCTAGTCGACGGTCAAACACTTTCAGCTCTGCGTACTGCGTCAAAAACCCTTCGGTATGATGAGCATTTTTTTGTAGTTTGTATTATGACTCAGATGTAACACTCAATAATTTCCAATTATGTATCGTGACGTGATCAAAATTGTTACTACCAAATTTACAATTATTTTTTGATATCAAGTTTTCAAGATTACAATATTTTTATTTATTTACATTATTCATTTGGGAATCAATTAATCAACCAAATATTTGTCATTTGGATTTTAAATTTAATTTTCTGATTTCTAAACAAACATTATCTAATTTTATTTTATATTTTTAGGATGGGTTTTCCATAAACGGCTTAGACAATAAAACACTTAGCACAGATTTTAACTGCGCTAGGTCTGACGGTAAGTGCTTTATTAGTTTATTAAAATTAAATTTTACACTTGTTTTTTTATTATTTTGGTGTATTTAGTTATTTGAGGGTGATAACTTGACATTGTATTAGACAACTGTTTGTTATTTACTTTTTAATTTAGATACAATTCATTTTTAAGCATTATTTTTTTTCCCCAAATCTACTGGCCTACTCTAAGCTTATGCAAAACTGAGTGCATGGAAGCAAAAGCATATAATATAAGTAAAAGCTTTTTCCTTCGATATTTATAATATTACTTTTAGCTAAAATTATATATTTTTTTCATTACAAAATATACATATTATTTTATGATAAGGTACAATATAAGGTAGTCAAGGTTCAGGCTTTAATATTATCTTTGCGCCATTTATTTATAAAAACAATACGAAGGTTTAGGGATATTAAATAAGATAGGGAATATATAATTATTAGCAGTAATGGTATGGCGAATAAAAATTATCTATTGAGTTCTAATACCCTCCAGCCTCCTCAAGATCTGACTTCTTAACCACTTAAAATTTTTCAAATATTTTCTTCGCCATGCCATTGATTAGTATGAAACACTAAGCTTTTACCTTATACTTTAACATGATTCCAAAATGATATATAAAAATATTACAACTTATTGTTTGCATTTGAAATTTTAGTTAGATATTTAAATAATTGTATTGTTGCTTTAATAATTTGATTTCTACATCACAATTTTCAAAATCTTGTATATCAAGACATTTAATGACGTTTTGTATACTTATTTATTTTATGTACTTGACTAATTTAATTTTAAGTGGTAATTTTATTGGATTTTTTCAAAAAATGTATATCTTCACAACCTAATGTACATACATAGCAATGTTTTATTTCTTCTAAATTGTATAATCAACTAAATAATAATAATTTTGATCAATAAATTGAAAAGATAAGCACTTGTTAAAAATTACATTATTAATTTCAATTGGAATGTTTAATGTTGAACATTAATCAAAATATGTGATTTGATTTTTAAATTTTAAAATTATTTACTTATTAAAATTTCATTTGCAAACAGCAATATATTATTATGCTGCCTGTTGACCCGTAGGAAAAAATAAATGCGCGCTTATACTAATATTGCTTGTCTGTTTTGGTGTAGTTTCTGCCGGATCTATATCTGAAGTGGATCAAGGCAACACGGTACGTAGACTTAAAATGTGGATTTAAATTTTGATGGGTTTTTCAAAAAAAATTTAATTTATATTTGATACTATAAAAACTAGAATTCTTAAGCTACTCAAATAATGCTTGCTATTTTACCTTGACTATTGTTTCATTAACTTGAAACCTATAAAAATATTTTTTATAAATTTAACTAATTGTTTACAATTGTGTGTAGTGTTCTGAGATACCAGCATCATCTACATTTACTGGATCATTACGCTATGTCACTAATATTCATCGTTCACTACCCAACATGTCTTCGTCGCATCACAGTTCTGAACCTCCAAAAATTTATCCTTATCACTTGTTACTCATCACAAATTACAGGCTGCCCTCAGACGTTGATAGATGTAACCTTGATGTAAGTTGATTACAATTATTATTTTTATATTGAATCTTGCTTAAATATAAATAAACAGTAAATGTGATATTTTGAGTAAATTAGTTGTTCAATCAGTTCTCAGTAAAGTAGTTTAAGTTGTGCAAACTAAATGTAAATATTAATTCAGTGGTAACGTAAGAGTATTGATTAGCACCACAAGTAAACATTTTATTTGCATTATAAATATTTAATATCCTAGAAACAATTTTGAATAACTAATTTGTATTTGTTCACAGCGTCACTTATCGCCCACAGAATTTGAAGCAGTTTTCCAAATGTCACAAGCTGAGTTCTATCAGCTGCCTAAATGGCGCCGCAACGAATTGAAGCGTAGGGCACGCCTGTTTTAATTTTACATTCGCTTGCTGCCTTGTATTAGAAACAAGGCAAACATTTATTAGGCTTCTTGGTTATCAACTTTATCTTTAACAGCTAAACTATTATGACAATTATATTGTAATATCAGTTATGTACCAAATTTTTCTATATTTTTATTTAAAAAAAAATACTTTATTCCTAATTTTATTTGTGACAATATTAATTTTTTTGTTTATAGACACCTTAAAGTTTTATTACAATTTTTTAATAATACAAAAGTGTATACTTAGTAACTGTAAATATTAATAATATCTTTAATGGCTTATATTGTTTTTGTGATTTACTTGTAATAATTTTAGTATTATTTTAGACACTATTTATAATATATATTTATATTATTTAAACTAGCCAACTGGTCTAATTGTTTGACTGTCATACATGTTGTCTTGATACAATATAATCTATCAACTATGTTTATCATTTTCATTATAAATATAAACATAACAATTTAATTTACCACTAAACCAACGTTTTATGTAAAAATGTATGTCATTCAAAATATTCAGCAAACTAAGTCTGCCTTACTCTTGAAGCTGGGCACTAGTTAATTATAAAGTTAGGTTTAAATGTTACTTTTAAAGTAACTTTCTATCTTCTTAAGTTGGTTTTATTTCATAACAATGTTCTAACTTAACGAGTTGATTTAAATGTATAAAATGATCTAATTTAACATGTTAAAGACAAAAAGTAACTTTTAATTGTGAAAATCCCATTGTTCCGTAACATTAGTGACTGCAAAATAGCCGACTAGATTCTGGATATAATGATAATAGTTATTATATAGTATTTTATGGTAATTGATTATGTATCCATTTTTACTATATTATATTTTCCTTTTGTTATATGGTTTAAATTGAGTGTAAGGTGTGCACTCACTGAAGCAGAGGTAGTGGTAATATTCTATTGGCAACAATATCAATGAGAAAGCGGTAAATGCTGCCAAATACAATTTACCGCCATTCTCATATTTAAGTCAATTAATTAATTCTCAACAATCATTTTAGTAGCATAACTATTTAGCTGATGCCAGTGCACTGATTGTTTTCTTTCTCTAGCCCTCACACATCAAGGCAAAACGTATTTAAGCACAAGCATTTTTTTTTTTAGTTATCTTCGAGTAAAATCAATCATTACAAAAACGATAGAGAATAATATTTTTGAGAAAATGACATCAATTTGTCTGGAAACATTTTTCAAATTTACAAAAAAATATTTTATTTATCATAAGTTGAGTACAAAGTCAAATAATAATAAAATATAAAACCGATATGAAATACCCTCAAAAATATTATCCCCTATAATATTTGTACAAGGTGGTTTTAAACTAAGATTAGTCAAAAATCATAAAAAATGATTTTAGGTAAAAGTATTTTATCTATGTTGCACTTGGGTTTGAGAGAGATACCTAATATTACACTGACATCCTCTTAATTGTATAGAATACTTAACATTCATACTGATTTTAAACTAATAATAAAGTTTAAAAAAATTAGAAATTTCAGAAACCAACTTGTATTCAAACTTAATTACTTATTATTCAACTCAACTTGGTGAAAAAAATGACCAACTTGCCCAGCTTTTGTTACTCTAGTGCAGCTTTATTTGCTTTTACCTTATTCGAGGTAAATATTATTTTGTATCAAATACAATAGGCACTATTATTTAGGAAATGATTACAAAGTTCTCTTGTAATAAGGAATTATCTATATAAAATTATATTTATGTATGTGTATATTATATTTTTATAAGCATAGTAAAGCTTGATGTAGCATTAAGTATTTAAGGAATTTTTTGCCAACAACACTGAAATCGTACAATTTTGAAGCTATATTAACTATATTTATACAACTTGTATGTATAATAACATTTGTTACAATCATTTATTTACATAATATATATTTTATTATAGTACTAAAATGTAAAAGTGAGATGACATTTTAAGAAGTGTTATCGGCATTTATTACATATTATTCATTATGCAATTTAAATATCTTTTTTATTTAATTATTCATTTTATATATATACTATTTATTTATACACACAAATTACAAACATTTGCAATAAACATTTCATAATGTACCAATAGTCTAATGTTTAAATGTGATTGGTGCTAGTCTTTTATCGAGTCACAGTCTAAGGACATAACATAGATAAACAAATTTATGATTATTATGTACTATTATATATGTAAACTTATGTTTTATTTTATTTTATTCAAACACAAGAGTGATTTATCTGAGTTTTTGTTGCTTAAATATCTGGTGGATTTGATTATTTTATTGCAAGAATTAAATAAATTATGATACATGCAGTAGTATCAATTGATAACACAAACGAGGATAAATCGCTAAAAATAAGAATGCTTGTCTTAACAATTAAGCAAACTTAATTTTATTAATTATTTATAACATTTATTTTTTTAAATTATACTTTTATTGTCAGGCTTAATAAATAAAAATAAAAGTTAAAGGAATGATGGCATTGTATTTATTTATACCATCTTAAAATTAAATTGAATAATTCAAAGAAGAAAAACCAGTTCAAGCTATAATAAAAAAAATGTTAAAAATCAGAGAACTCTCTCTACTGTTAAATAAATGTTGAGTGTACATAGTCATCGAGTAGATCACTGCTATGATATCATGTGTTTGAATTCAATGATAAATGATTGCATATGAAAAACGATTCTGAAATGATTTGTCCGCCAATATTACAATATTACCTATATTTTATGACAATTTTTGTAGAATTGCTGTTAATAATTTATTTATAAATTTATTAGGTCATGTTAATATTATACAGTATACCTAGGTAGTTGGTACGTCATAATTTTCTGGGTTGAGTTTATACAATCGGGTATCCTTACCTGTTGGCTGTTATTGCCAAGCCGAGTTTACAACTACTGAACTACCACAGTAAGGTAATAGGTGGATACTAGATAGGTACCTATTACCGTATTAGGTTATCGCTGATTATATTGGTACTAAATAGTTTATAGAAAATAACATTATTCAGAAGAGCAAATTTCGCTGTTCATTAAAATCGAATGTTCATTAGAATAATTTAAATTCTAAATGACTACGAACTCTCCATGTCTCCATTGTTATTTGTCTCAACCACTTTAATTCGTCTTCGGCATGCACGTCTGCATCGTTTTTAATTTTTATTATGTATATTTTATATTTGTATTATTAATTGATGAATTTTGTGGGGCGTAGGACGTCTGTTGTGTGCAGGGGCGTGCTCACCGAGGGGTATGAGGGTGCCTTCCCTTTGGCTTATTTTTGTCGTATAAAATATATGATCAACTGATAAATCAATAAAATTGTATTTAGCAACGTATAACGTGGTATGAACTCTGAAGATAATCGAAAATGTTATATCCGGCCCCTCTGGCCCTCTCCTTTTTAAAAAATCTGATCATGCCACTGAGTTTGTATGTGAGTGTATAAAATAATATAATACATTTTATAATATAAGTAAATAATAAAATAAATATATACATTAGATTATATTATTACCTATTATTATTCTACGACCGAGCATGAGATATGGGTTCACGTACCAATAGGTAAATAATTAAATATAATGCATTGCACGCTCGTGACTGAAAATACGCGTGGATGGCAGCTTTTGCATGTGGAGATTGTAATCTCGAAGAAAAAAAATGCTCAATAGGTCTATTGTAAACTCGTCTCGGATTTTTTTCAGGTGAAAAAATGATTGAAATGTAAACTCGGCCCGAACAAAAATAATGTGCCCAGATCTTCTCATAATCTCATATACAATTAATAATTATTTTATAATATTTTCTAGATTCATTAAGCTTTAGGTACTCAGAAGCCAGAGGACACCACGAAGAAGCAATTTCATTATCTTTCAAAAATTATTAATTTATTAATAATTATATTATTAAAAAGTCTGCAAAATCGTTATATAGCTCAGAATTAAATTGTATAAATGTATATAATATACGTATTACCCCCCTACGCGTGGGCTACGTGTTATTTATTATTTTCAGATTAAATTATGTTGTGCTCATTTTTATTTTATGGGACCGAGTTGACCATCAACCTATTTCATTACTTGAAATTCTTGGTCCGAATTTACAATGAAGAAGGTAAAATCACTTGCCCAGCTTACATTTGCCTTCTATGCCTCTATCTGACTGTAGGCCGTGACAATAATTATTTAGGTATTATTGAGAACTATTCTTTGTTCTCCGAGAGACCAGGGCCGTTTCGGTTAGGTCATGCAACTGACGGAAATACGGGCGCTCCGTCAAATATACCATCTCTAACTGTCTTGTTTCGCCGGTAAAAAGTTCGTAATGCCGGCATTATCCAATATTTTATACTTTCTCAGTACCCACCTCTCGACTCCCAACATTTTAGCAACAGTTATTTTACAATAATAATCCTCTAGCGCCACCATTAATGCCTAAATAAATATAAAAAACAAGTATTTTTAGACTAACTTTGTACACTCATGAGTCATGTTAGAAGTACCTACCTGTTTTCGTATTTGAGACTTATCAGCATAAGTTCACCACAAGGACAACAAAACTTACCAAGTGCAATTTCGGCTCTGAGCTCTTGAAGACTGCGAGGAGCGGTCAATATTCAAAATATCATAAATAAGTAAGTATCTAAAATGATCTGAAATATTTTATAGATATATTTATATTTGTAGGTATCTATTTATAATTTAAATAGGTACTTATTGGAAAATATAGTATGGAAGTTGAAGTGCATTTTTGGCTAGTTTTCATGCAAATAGTAAAACAAAAATTCAAAATGATCGTACGTACGTAATATCAAGTATATAATAGGTATTTTATATTATTATATATTTTAAAAAAAACAGTCTACTTTTTCGTATATAATATAAAATAATTGCGGTGTATACATAATTATACATTATTATATCACGTTGCGTATAATACAATCTACACAAAATTATAAATTATACCTGTCTAAAATAATTTAAAAATAAAACGCGATCTCTTACAAAAAAAAAATAATAAAATAGTGAAGCGTCAGGCGTGACACCGTGGTGGCAGCGGCTTACATAATATTATATTAACGTTAAAATTATCATATTATTTATTTAAAAAAAAAAATAATAAGTCATCGTATTACAGCCAGTGCTCAAATTTGTGAGGAGGACGGAGCTCCTCTGGTATTTCTTTTTTAAATTTTGGGAACATCCCTTATTTTGCGAAGTTATTATAATTAATAAAATATTCAAATCATTTATTGATGGTTTGTGCAACTTATTTTTACTATGATATTACAACTGGTATTAAAATTTATTTATAATAATATGGAACGAAAACATCAATTTTGATCGCTCATAAGTAGTCTACATTAACGAAGTGATCCATTTAACGTAACTTTCATTAGTTCAGAAAATACTAACTTTTTTAAAAATATTAGTCTCAATATTAATTCTTTTGCATAATTCAAAGCTTTACAAAACATCATTTTCAGAAGATAATTATATTTTTTATCGATATCGTTTTTAAAGTCTTTTTATTTTTATTCTTTTGAATGACAAAATGCATTTCATATTCTGAAGCATACTATTATTCGGAGTAATCGGAGTATTTCGATCTATATAAAAATCAAATTTTGGACAAGTGGTTTTTAATTATAATTAAGTATTTAAAATTTAGATGAGCAGATTATTGGACAAACATTTTTTGAGGTACCCTTGTACGGCCTGTACTATACTCTATTCCGCAAATTCAAACTTTAAAATATAAATACAACTCGTACATTATTCGTCCAAAATTCGAATTTTATGTGTTAAAGTACTCTAAAAAATATTCTGTTTTGGAAAAAATAAAATAAAAATGCATGTTGTTAAAAAAATGAACGTTTTTGAGATAATAATATTGGCCAACGTTATATGGATCACCCTTTAAACTGGAGTACTCGTAAAATATTTATTTGGGTACGTAGGATTGATAGTTTATGGATTGCGTTCAAATATTTTAAGTTAAGTTTTCCAAATCGAGCACTGATTACATTGCAGTTTCCTACAAGGTCATTGATATAGTATTAATAATAATTATAATTATGATAATACGCTGCAAGTTGGGGAGGGATGCGATACATATAATATTATATACGACGGTGCAGACGACTCAGAAGCGTTCGTCGGCTGGGGGCGGCAGCGCTGTCTTCCGGACCACCGGTTTTCGCGCCCTGTTCCTGGCCATGCCGTTCAGGTTGATCGTCTGTCCGTTGGCCATGACGTACTGGTTTTTGGTGTAGTCAATGTAACCGTACGTGTCGCTGGCCTGCGCCTCCTGCACCGCGGACGATCCGGAGCCCTGCTGCTGTTGCTGCGGCGCCTTCAGCGGCAGCCTGTCCTTGTCGCACGGTATGCCCGACTGGTACGAGTACTCGCGCTTGACGCCTTCCGGGTCTATGTAACCGTACTTGCCGCGGGTCACGCAGTCCACGCCGATGGTCTCCTCCTTGAACGTACCGTCATCGTTCTCGAAACCCCAAGTGATGCTACCGTCCGGGTTGTCGTCTCTGTACCTTCTCAAAACCTGAAGCGAAGGTAAAAATCAATGGGATTAGGTATATGTTGTGTAAAATAATGTTGTTTGGTAAATTAATGTTATAATATCATTCATCTCGTCAAACATCGTATATGATGTAAGGGCGCCCGTAAAAATGACAGTGATGATTTATTTTTATTCGAAATTTGAAAAACCAGTTCAGCGAAATCAAAATTTTTTCCGACCTTAGTCTACCGAATGAAGATAAAAAATTAAATTATTTTTGTCATTATTATATTAATTATGATTTCATTGGGTCAACTACCAATCATTTTTAAAGCAATTATGGAAAATTCTTTATCTTTTAAATTTATTTTTAAGTTTGGTTTTTGTTTGTGTTCGAATAAACAATTTTCAAACGGAGTTCAGTTCAAGTTCGGGGGTAATATAATACATATAACATATATTATGACATTAGGTCAGTTCTCATTTTGCCGAATTTATTTTTTATACGTGCTTATAATAATAAACTAAAAGTTTATCTATATATAAGAAATTATATCATTGAATTATACAAAACAGTTTTCAGTCATTAAATTACAATATAAAATTGCATACATAATTCAGTGACGGAGTTCTTGTCTTTGTCACCCCCAACCAGTATTTTATTTGTATAACTATTGTTGATTTATCAACCAATAACTTTACTTCAGGAGAGCGGTGATATTGTAATAAGATCATATTTTACACGATAAATCGTCCACTGCATATATCACTGTACCTACATTTTTTAACTATGTTTTGAAAATAATTTGGCCGTAGAAATGAGACTACTGCAAAATGGGAATAAATGAAACTGATGACGAAACGGAATACTACCTCGTGTAACAGAGTATATAGACGGCCGCTGGCGAAACAAATATGATATTTTTCGAAGTAAATAGGTACGTAATTCATTTTCCATAAGCTTTGCGGTTGAAGTCTTACCTAACAATATTAAATTTTATAATATAGGGTTTGTGGCGTAAAATCCAACTGCATAACAGGAAACGTGATAATCATAATATAATATAAAATATATTATATTATTGTCGAGCTTCAAATTGTATTTTTTTTATTCTTAAAATTCTTAAGTATATAATAATATATACACGTGACTAGCCATCAATCTCTTCGACCTAATTGTGGATAAATTTTCAACGAAAGCGTAACTTTTCTTCTCGTGCACGTGGCGTTCAAGTTTTAGCTTTCACAGTACCTATCACATAATCTATACCTGTATATTGACCTGGTGCGTGCCATAATAACGATATTATTTATTATAATAATACAATTATCATGAATCAAAAAATATGATCTATAAACCTTTTCCCACACTTCCTTGTTTGGCGCGACGATCACGTGTAATGCGCTTTAGTTATTTTGAAGTCGTTTTACGCCGTCTGATAGATAGTCGTAGGTTTGACACGTTAGTTTACTGATTATATAGAATGTAGGTACCTATATAATATATATTATAACTTATAACTTATAAGTTAGTAGTTACTGGTAGGTACGTCGGATGTGAATGTAAATTCGAAATTATACTTTCTCAATATTTTTATCAATGACACAGAAATTTAATTTAATTTGTGATTTATATTATATATATGCTTGTATAGTACCTTGTAGGTACGTCATTTATATATTATAATATTATGTATTACACTATTACCACATATTATATAACATGATATGATCGCATGCAGATATCGTGAATAATATAAGAACAAACTTAATTTTTTATGACAAAATAATTGAATATTATATAGCCAGTAGGTATAACATATTAAGCTAAACACCCCATTTTAGACATCTCATATAATTAGTAATTAGAATTATACAATTTTTTCTCTTCGGGTCAGTTTTAAATTGTAATCAGTACCTAGGTATTAACGTTTTCGTTAGCAATTATACAATTATGCTGCATTATATAATGTGCGAGCTGTACAATATTGTTATTTCATTTACTTGTAGATTCTTATCGGGATTATTTTTAATCGAATGTTGGTTACCTATCTATATTATTATTAAACATTCACTTTTAATTTTTTTTTCATAAAAATGTTCGTTTGATATTGATCCTTATAAGAAATTTCTTATGTATAAATTATTTTTATCGATTAGGTATATTTTAATAAACTATACCGACGGAAAAATTGTAAAGACCTACTCAAATCGTTAATTTTAAAAATCGTTCAGACAAATACGCTTGCATACCATTTATGATTATATATTTATGTATGATAATCAATGGTATCGAAATATTACAATAATTTATTGGCATTAGTCAGTCAATGCCTACTACACAAGAAAAAAGGAATGGGTGATTGAATAAAAGTTATTTCATGTTTTTATATATCAAGTAATAGTAGTCAAATATGAAACATTAAACTATATAATGATTAATGTTCTGTAGTATAATATATGTTTTTTTTGATTATATGCTTTCTCAAATGTTTTGAGTTTCACTGTTATAACGAGGTGTCATATTTATAATATTATCTTGAATGTGGTTCTTTCTTTTTGATTTCAAATCGTTAGTTAATATTATATATGATATATCCGCTCAACACCGACTGTATTTAATAAGTACTCATATTACAGTACCTACACCGCAATTGTATTTTTATACACTCGTAAAAAGGTCAATGTTGTATGTTATACCTATTGAAAATGTAATTTTCTTCATGATTTCTCATTGTTGAAAGGTAATTATTTTTTTTCACTCATAAGACACATTCATATTTAGATATCATTAAAAAAATGAGTTTTGTTTTCCACTGTACGCATATCCTACCTATATAGTATCGTTAATAGTTTTGTTCTTGTCGAATGGTTTTCGAGCGCAGTGCGTCATTGTATATTCGAAAAGTTGTAAGTTAAGATACGCTAATACTCTATATATTTATATAATAAATATACCATGTGCATGTGTAGGCTTATTGTTATTTTAATAAGCTACAAATAGAAAATGTATAGATAGTTTAAATAAACTGGTTTTTAATTTCTATAATATAAGGATAATCTGGTTATATATAATAGACTTAAATCGTTTATTAAATACAAATGCAATTTAATGACGACTGACGAGCGATCGTAATCATTTTTTCTTCGCTTGTTACTGTTGATACTTCGATAGTATAGTGCCTATATAGTATTATTGTATGTTTACCATAGTAAATAGTCACTTCGATGAAAACATATTTTATTGATTTGCAGCACTAAATGTACTAAAAGTCAAGTAGTATCTGTATAATATAAGATAGCACGACGTTTAAAAAAAAATAGACGGTTGTGTCACGAATATGCGTCGGGGAAAACGTGCGGATTATAGGATTTTATCTAAGTGCCGAGTGAGTGAGTGATCGAGGAAGTATAAGTAAAAGGCGACGTCTATGATACACTCCAGTGCTAGCCTATGTCGGGCTATATTACGTTATTTGAATGAGACCAATGACTTGGATTAAGGCAGTTGTCAGAAGAGTGCATAATATAATAACAACTGCAACAGTTCAAGATAACCTATTTCCGAGGCCTGGTGTGGAGAAATACTATAACACCAATTCCTAGTAGTTGATAGGACTATAAGAGAGACCTGAGTGATTATAAAAATATGATAACGTATTAGCGGAACGATGATAAAGTATTTACATTATGGTCTCTAGAATAATATCAATCCATTCGGATATCTACGGGTTTAAAACGTGTCTACTATCTATACATTGTGTTAAAAATCAAAATTAAATAATATGGTACCTGAGACACCGGCTTCTTCGCCCGTTGTTTGTCGGCAGACTCGGTTCGTTCAAGTTTCATTCTCTGTATCGTTTCCGGAGATTTAGAAATAACTTCCGTCTCTTCGGTGACTCGTACGCGTTTCACCGGCCTCTGTACGACCTTCCTCACGAAGTTTGGTTGTGATTCAATGGGTTGTATCTGGGGCTAAATAATATAATTACAATAAAATTACAACGATGGGCTACGATTAAAATGTATATAAATGTAACCCTGCACTTATTAGGTACACGAAGAGGGACAAATGGTCGTAGCCGTTTGGACGACAAAATAAGTATAAATTAAATAAATAATATTATTATATAGATCATCATCAAAATATATTAAAAAAAAAATTGAAAATGAATAATTCTGGTTTATGCTTATTATAAATTATAAAACCATTGATATTATATGTTCATAATATAACTATAATGGTATCGTATAATATCGAACCTTATCGATATTATTATTGAATTTTACCTAGGTAGGTATTACCTATAGATTGAATTTTATCGCTTTGGCAATAGGTATTAGATATTTTTTTTTTTGTTTATCACACTTTATCGAAACACGGCGATACACGACAATACACACTTATCGTGCTAGTCGTGTACAAATTGCGTATTACAAGTATACATACACATGTAAAATGTTGTTAATTAAATAAAATCGCGATGGTGAAGTATTTTTGGATGCCGGTTCACGGTTTCATGTACTTATTTGACGCTTTTAGTTCTGATGGCTTAAAACGGTTTTGGCGATGTAGGTATAAAAGAGAACGTAGGCTCGTGTGCATACTAGCATAACAGACTTAATTATAATAAGAACTAAAATATCATTTTTACGCGGAATCGCACAAAATATTTCTCTGCATTAATATAAAAAAACTTCTTAGATATTTTATATATTATATTTTGGACGTACTATGATAATTAATATAAATAACTTTTTTTGATATTGTATTTTAATTGCTGGTGTACCTAAAATTGTAATAAAAAATTGTTTTAGATACATTTTTAATTTTAATATTTTATATAGTAAATCATTTTTTTTTTTTTAAATTTTTATTAGCCATTAGTCCAAACTATTACGGCTCAATAAATAATTTGGATATTCGTTTTTGTTTGACACATAAATATTATAATAAATATAAATAACTTATTAATTTTATTTACTAATTTAATATTTTGATTATATTTTTTTAACGTCCAATTGTCCCCACGTCCATTTGTCCTAGATCGTTAGGTACTGTATAAACCTATATTACTTTATAGATTCGCAATAGCGGTGGAAAACTACAGTTACCAATTTACTTGGATAAAAATATAACATTATAGATACAATCGAACTGTCTGGATTATTTGGAATTTTTTTTAATAAATTAGATAATTATTAGGTAAACATATTTAGCATTTTATATCGGTAATATTTTGGGTTACCTATAATATGATGACTTTTAATATGACTCTAATGACACAATGCTACAACTTTAAATAGCCATAAGACGTTTTTAACTCCCTTTTTAATATTTAGATTCACTTGAAAATTGTAATAAACAACCAGACAATATTGTGGACCCGGGCGTTATAATTTATGTATAAGCCTATACCTATCCTGATCACAATAAAATCGTACTAATGATTCATAATAATATAATATGATATAATGTATAAGCCTCTATAGCTGAGTCTCTCTATATTTTTATTTCCTATATACCTGAGGCAGGAATCCAGGGAACTGTTTTTCAGGCTGAGCTTGAATCCTGTCAATGTGTTGTTGTTGTTGTTGGACCCTGTCGACTTGCTGCTGCTGTGTTCTCTCAAACTGGTGCTGCGGCACTTGTCTGGTGGGCTGGGGCGCGTCGTTGCCCGCCGCCGAGTCAACATCGACGTTTTCGACCGGTCTCGGCTGGAAAGTCTGCTGCGTTACCTGAGGCTTATTCGGTTCCTGTCCCTCCAGACTGAATCCTCGACCTCTGTACAGGGGCAAAGAGACTCTGCGGAACGGCTGAGGCACCTGTTGCTGTGGGTCCAAGTTCAGTTGAGCGATACCACGACCTTGCACAGCGGGTCTGGTGAACGTTGGCGGGACGGGGCGTTGCTGGCCCAACGCCACTGTCACCATTAAGGAAGTGGCGACAAATAAGATCTGCAACAGACAGGACTTTTGAATTTATGTCACTATTTTCAGAGGTAAAAATCAGGGGTAGTCAAACCGCGTCTCGCGTAATATCGGAAGACGAAAATCATTTTTACTAGTATGATAATGTGAAGACAAAATTATCCGATGCAAAATTCAATCTCATTTTATTGTATACGTAAGTATTATAATGTTTCACATTCTACATAATCTTTTATTGCATCTTATTTAGTATAGTACCTATTAAGAACCTTTTTTTCCTACTCTTAGTTCTTACGTATTTTAGATTACACTGTTCTGCTCTCTACTCTCTTATCGTTGGCCACCCTTGGTATATATTGTTTCGTAGTTTATATAAACAACCTTAACGGGGGTGGTATACTGCAGCGTATACAATTTTATTGCAATCCCCATCACCAGCTGTCTACCACAACTCAAAATTTGATCAACTATATTTTTAATTATTATGATGCAACTATACTCGTGGACCTATACGATTACACATTACACTATATTCAACATTTCAACGTATCAGAATAATAAAGAGCGAGTATAACAATTTACAGACAACGAACCATTAAGTTGCATACCAATCATCGAAGCTGCAGATTCAAAACATATTATTAGGTACCTACCTATTATATTATTATTATTATTATTTTATATTTTAGTGACGAGCATGAGCATGTGAATGCTCGTGAGTTATGCATATTTTTACATTATAACTTATTCACACTAATACTTGTTTCTCTGTCTGCATCTGCTTAATATAACAACAAAGGTAAGGTAGGTATTCCGTACTTCCACGATTGTTACTTGTGGTTAAGTTTAGCCCCTAAACTTTTAGGCAAAGGTATCTTTACTTATACGTTATACAAAGCAGGATATTTCCTATGTATTTCCTTGATAGTTTTCTTTAATATTTAAATTTTTATCAAGATAAGCATGTTTTAATTTAACTTAATTTATCTTATTTTTAATCATTAAATACTTTTTGTAGAGTTCAAACATTAAAAAACTGCACATTACACAGGAAATATCCTTTTAGTAGGAAAACGAATATTGGTGTTGCGGCTCTTTAATTTTATAATAATTAAAAAAGGTTTTATTTTAAATAAAGTTGTTACAAAGGAAGTCTATGGGATGATCTTATCGTTAATGTAATATCACAATTGACAAGTACGCAGACGATAGTTGATAATTATTATAGTGATATATACATTACCACATTGGGTAACTAAAACGTTTTAAACATATCGCACATTATTACGTGTAAGACATAAATATAAAATACATAATATACATCATGCATAGGTGTTATACTGATAGGTTATGTGTGTCGACAGACGACTGAGAAAGAGTACGTATGTGTTGTTTCTGAAACTCTAGTTTTTATTATTATTATCATTATTTATAAAGATAATTATATGTACATCGAAAATTCGAAAAATATTCTAACATTTATGTTAATATGGAGAGAAAAAAACAATACAATTTCTAAGTCGACGACCTGTTTAATATGACTCGTCGCGTCGCCTCTGTTGGACGAATGTGACAAGACGGTATTCGTGGTGAATTCTTTCTATCGAGGTTTTTTTTAACCTTAATACACCAAAGTGAGAACAGAGAAAAAAAAATATTTCATTGAAACAATGCAGTCACGTCCGCCACGTGCCTGTTTCCTGGCCATTAACGACCGTTACGATGATGTCCAAGTGCATATCTAGTGTGTATAGGTATATTTTATAATTCGTTTACCGACGCTCAATTGCAATTTTTTTTTCTAAAAATATTTTTCAATTACTATTGTGACGATAGAATCCTATTAGGAGTACCCAAGCCGTCTAAATTTCCGTAACACAATATATAATATGCAATATATATATATATATATATTATAATGATTAGCCGATAGGCATATTTGAATGCACTGAAGAAGACGCGTGATGACGGTGCAACGACCTCTGACGTATAGCGGGTGGATGACCAATTGGTCCGACTACGGTTATTGAGTGTATATTATAGTATAGATTACTGTCTTATAAGTAGTGTAATAACAAATAATATAATATATTTATATATGTGTATAAGTAGATTATATATTGTATGTATATATATATAATAAACAGCTTCGGGCCAGTGTTATTTTTCTATTTGTATTGTTATCCTTTACAACCGAGCGCTTGTAATTATAACGGCTTACAAATAAGATTCATTTAAAATACGACGATCAGATGCCCGCGGACCACGTAACATATATGTGTTTATAATTATAATATGTGTGTATGACGAAACGGAAGAGACCGCGTCTCTGTGGTGTAGGACGTAGAGGGTTGTACGTAGAGAGTTGTACGTTTCCACTACCCCAGCGGCCATACCCCTATGTACAACTGATAACGATTGATTATACTATAATATCATTATATTCCGCAGTTACTGTAATGATTATAGTTGTAAATGTATAGGTAATACGGTAACTGCGGAATATAATGATATTTACCTTGGTACATAGTATGTAGAAATATATAGGTATATGCACACTGTAAGTCTGTACAGCTACCGTGGTAAATGGTACGTATGTATATAAATAGGTAGGTATTATATATGTATAGATACTGTTCGAAATTCTTAAGAGATACCATAAATGAAAAGATAATCAATTCGATGACAATAACAAGATATGATGAACCCCAATACTCCATCAAAGTCGGATACAATAATTATCGATGGCGCGTCACAATAATATAATATGCCCCGAATCTCGCACTCTGTATTATTTTATATATTATATTAATATATTATGTGTAGACATATTATAATATTATATCTAAATGTTTTTGGTCCTAAGTTTTTGGCAAGGATCGACAGGAATATTTCACACGCAACGAGTCTGCCACAACGTCATTATATTTATTATTATATTATTATTATGTTAGGTATTACATATAGTGTCAGAACGGTTATTGTTTATTATACAACGCGTGACGTTCGCACTACTCCCAGACACCGCTGGAATCCGATAAAATGTATAACATTATGGAGTTTTTCAGCTCGTTCAGACACGTATTCACGGTTCAGACCCCTCGAAATATTTTCAAAAAATCTTTTCTCCGACACGGCAATGTTAGATTAATTTTTGATGTTTATTTGAGATATATATTTTTTCATTTTTAACTTTTTATTATATTTTGGCCTTATTTTAGATAAGCTCCTAACCTGAATTTTGTATACTACATTTCAAGTACATTTTCAACAAAACTCTTTATTTTGCTTATTATTCTATTTTAAATCTATCTAGTATATTTTTATATTGTGAAAAATAAAGTATTTAACCATTTTGCCCAACCCTGCCTTCAAATAATGTACTATCGCATGTCTACACTTTAACCGCCTATATTGTACAGCTATTGGCTAGTGCTATACATATAATATGAGTAAATGACGTGAGCCGGGTATACCCAGCACCGATGCCGACGACGATCGATTATTGTTATTATTCCGAATCCGTGCGATCGATTTTGGCCTATACCATATATGTATACATTATTTTTTTGTATAGGTACGTATATAATTATTATTATAATGCAGTATTCCACGTTTGGAATAACAAAATCGACGTCGTCCCGCACTGTTACGCGCCGGATGTGTTCCAATAATATTATGACGCGTTGGTTTCACACGAATTTTTTTTTTATCCCGTTAAAGTGTGCTGCAATACACTCGGTCGCGGGAGCTGACTGTAGTGGTTAAGTAATACCTACATAAATATAATATAATATTATACTTAACTATTTTAACCATGTATCTGTATATTATAAGAGTCCATAAGAAATTACTTACAAACACAAGAATATATAGCCGCGTGGCCCGTGTCTCAATTACTCGAAAACTTCGCTAATTCGAAGTTTTTACTTGCCATTTGAAGTGTTTTTAAGTTGTGTTGAGGTACTCATATATAACTCGAAAAATACAGAAGTCAAATTTATTTTTGTTCATTTTCGGATTCGAGTAGTTGAGTCTCGACCGTATAATATTTTATTTTCTTGTTGCCTTTTAACATATGAGTCATCTGATGTACCTACAAGTTTATATTATGTGGTTTATTGATGTCAAAAGTTGAATCATTAGTTTCTGTAGTCTATTCAAATATATTTTTAAAGTTTGGCAGGAGACGGATTGAAGATTGTAATGATATATAGTTTGGTGGGGCGTAGTTATACGAGGACAAACTGTTTGACACCCTATCGTATATTCGTATACATTTATAATATGATAGCACTGAACTATAAAAATACACCTTGCCGATGGATGACGACTTTTACTTATATGGATGTATGGATATTATGTTTAGGTACAAGGGCATTATTTTTTCATACAATAATATTAATAATATTAGATTGTATCTAGATCGATTTATTTATAAACTACAGAAATCGAATCAAACTCTACATAAAATCATATAAAATATGATAAGTTTAAGACCCATATTTTCAGACTGCATTGCAGAAAATTGTCGTTTTTAATACTTCGAAAACATTTTTGGATCATGTCCTCAGAGTACTCAAAGTCCTATAGTTTGTGATTATAGTGATTGTCTATTATCGATAAGAAACTGATTTTTTTTTAAAATAAACATAAATTAAAACGCAGAATATGGAACTGCAATTTATCACCAAAATTAAATTTGTAATCAATAAAACATTCTAAGCTTCGACTTTTATTTTTCAAGTTGTAACATACGTGTTTAAAACATAAATCAATTTAAATATTTTTTAATAAAATTATGTTAGAAAATAAATAATAATATATGTAAGACATAAATGGTCGCGATTTTTGCTGTATGAGCTAGCTCGGATGCCTTCGCGTCTGTCGCACGTTAATAACTGACGAGCATATCACAAATTTAATAGTTAAGTAAAATAAATAATCTAATAGCTGATACAAAATATCAGAATTATTAGTATTCAGATCATCTCGATTATCTGACTGGATTTACTATAATTACCTACTATTATGGTAGTTTGAAAGTT